CGGGGGGGGAAAACAAGTTAAAATAATTAGGCACCTGTCCTCAACAGGTCCTTTAAACTCAACCTTCTTCTTCTTCCCTATAAAGCAATTAAGAATGTCTGATAAATAAACACTGAATGATCGGTGTGGTAGATTATAAGTTGCTGGCTGACGATCAACCGAAAGCAATCACTTATAAATAAATAAGTGAGTACACATTTTGCCTATAACCATTGTTCACACTCTGATGAAACTATCTGTCCAGTACTATGAAAAACTAATGCCAAGCTGACCATTTGACATACCAGCACATACTATGGTATTGTGTGTAATAATCTGTGCACAATATTTGGGAGTTTGTCTTCACACTGCAGTATGAAGTTCCCAAAACAAGATCTGTGGACTCTGAAGCATACTACAGTGTGTACACGCGCCATTTGTGATGTTTGTGCAAACATGATAATCCAGATTGCTGACAGTACAAAGTTCACCTACTAATTAATAACCTTGTGGTTTTGATAGATATATTGCAAATCACCTATTCAGAAGATAAAGGGACATAAGACCCATATAAAAATCTGCATGGCTCAGCAGATAAGCTGGAGATACCTACTTAAAACTCCTAATTGCAGTATACATAAGACATGTGTTACCCTAAAAGATACAGGATTTTCTGCCATTTTAGCCCGAAAAAAGTTTTGAAGACAACATTGCAAGATGGCAGGATTCAATGTCCCGTGGACAGAAATCTTGAAATTTTTTTTAACTTCCCACATTGATTTGGTCAATGTGGAGATAATTGTAAATAAAATCTGTTTCTGGAAAGAAAAGTAGGGGTCACCGAACGTCCAAGATCATCTGCCCTATCATTGTTAATTTTAGTACCTAGCCCACGTGCTCGATGCATGACGTGACGTGTGAATTTGCGTGCGCAGTAAGAATGCACAGAAACAATTGGCGCGAACGTCCTTAAGAGAAAGTTTAGACAAATGCCAGGTCTATTAACATAAAATTAGACATGAAAAATGGACAATAATTATTATGGATGGGAAAAATAAGAAAAAACACATCTGTCACTAGGCACAGGTGTTGCTATAAAACAGACCACATAATAAAACTCCACTTCTAGATCTTCGTTAAATTTCAACATCACCTAAACTTTTTTTGGAGATCAAACCTTCAAATAATTATTTTAGCAGAATTGTAACATAAGCAATCCATCTATGAACGTTTGCCATAAAAAGTATAATTGCATGTAAATCCGCTTAATTTTAACGGCCTGAATTCACAATTTGCATACATTTAAGAAATATTATATCCTTTCAACTGCTATGATCTTCTCACAGTCTTCGAAATATAGCAAGTCTTTGTCGCTTTTCTAAATCAACGATCCAACACTCCCTAAGATAACAGCGGGCAATTTCTCTTGAAATTACCCGGTGTTATGTCAATGTTTACTTTTCCAGAAAACTCAAGAATCATATTTCTTCGTTGATCAAATACTTAGTAAGGAGTTAAACGCTCTGGTATTTTATCATGTTTACAATCAAAGCCGCTGAAACCAATATATCTGTAGCTTATATGGTAACACTTTTCTATGCAAAGAACTTGTTATAACGACAACATTTACTACCGGTAAGACGAACGTGATGATAACACGACACTTCGAATAAATTACGTGACCATGTTGTTGTAAATTTTAATAAGCCCTGTGCACGAACTTGTTGGCCGGGCGAAAACATGACGTGTGAAGGTAAACTTCAACCTAACTGAAGCATTGCATCAACATGCAGCAAGTACTAAGCTTAATTTTTCAAATTCAGCGCGAAGTCCAATTGACTAGCGAAGCTGTCGCTTTGGAACGTTTTCAAACGCCTCAAGCATTAAGTCCTAACTATCTCCGAAGCTCTATCTCTCCTCCCAATTTCAAAATTAAGCGTTATTTTCTGCATTTTAAAACGTCTTGTACGAATTAAAGCAATTTATCGTTAACCTTTCACCCTAGACTCGGCAGTTTTTTCATGCTATGTGACTCAGCATAGATAGCATCACTGCAAAATTCATGCAACGAAGTGAACATTATTTTTCGCTCAGCTGCTTATAAGATTCCTTTATAACTTGAAAACGTTTCACAGTTACATAGTCACTTACGACTCAAAACTTTATAAGCTTTAGCATATTTTGTGTGAACGATGGACGAAAATGTACGCTTACCGTCCTCTTGGTCCTCCATTTCCATTTCCCCAAGCCACAGATAATCGCGTCAAAATATCAATGAATTATTCATAGACCACAAAGACCGAAGACTCTTGAAAAATGTCGAAAATAGCTTTGTACTGAGCCTAGCTTTCTACTGAAACTATTACACCGCTTGTCTTCAGTATCACGTACTTTCTTTCGTGCAGAGTTCACTTCTGAACACTATACCTAAAAATAGCCAGGCGTAATCTGTAAACGTAGGCGAAGGCCTTGGCCGGGACTCCCTGGGGCAAGTTCTTGCGTGACTGGCTTCGAGTAAGTACCCCGGGGGTTACCCGGGGAAACTCTCATACAAAATTAAACATGCCAGAGAATTTCTCGGAAATTTTCAAAATCCACCATGAGCCATTTTGGGGGTGAAGCTCTAGGTGTTTTTCTAACCCTAAGACTTGGTTCCTGTACGTTAGGTCTACAAAACTGATACCACCTAGAGTGCCATCCACCCCCAGCTCCTCCTCTTCCCAGGGCATAGTTTGTACTTTTGATTATTTGCTTTCCGTTTCCTTCTTGGTAATACGGTTCCTTGTTCGTAAGCTAAGTGTTAAGAGACCCAATTTGAAGTTAGCTGGGGTTTAAATTTACTTTCTCCGATAGACAAATAATAAATCAAAACTTGTGGGACAGAGACTGTAGAAATGGAAACCCCATTGTGACAAATAACTAACAAAGAAAAGACTAATACACAAAAGTACCACATAGATGCTGACATACCTTCAAGGTTTGATTCTTAATGCATTGAGTCGCTACCATCACCAGCGTATGAGAGCCATTGATATATTTGACATGTTAGTGCGACCGAGAGGTCGCTTGGCATGACTTCAGTGTAAAAGTGAAACAGTGCAAAGAACAGCATATCTTGGAACTCTAAAAATCTCCTTTTTCCTAGAAGGTTTTCTTGTGGCAGTATTTTTATAGCCTCCTTTCTAATGGCACTTATATTGTGAACTGTTACCGACTCAGCTCCGTTATTATTTTTTATTTTGTATTAGCGTTCTTTACTCGGTGATATTATAATTTCTATTTTGCTATTCATCACTAGAAACTCACGGTCAAGAGAAAATTGCCTGATCACCTGAAGAATGGTATCATGCACTCCCGCTGTTTTCGGCAATCCCTAAAATAACTTGAGCGGAATTGACATATCCCAAGGCCTGGACTGGGAGCCTCCCTCTCTGTCCCCTCATTTTCTCTTGCTCACAGTCTAATGGCATTATATTTTTCGTTAAGCTACTTTAAAATTACAGTTTGCACACGCTCTAGCCTGTACCCCTATCGGCTGTTTGCCACCAAGCTTGTAATTTCCTCTAGTATATAATCTTACATGTAATTGATATGATATATTTGTATTTTGGGGTTTTGGTCCAAAGTAGTGGACAACCCAGCCTAAAGTTCAGGGTTAGGGTTAGATTTTTGGTGTGATTTTTTTTATTGTAAAACCTTAACTGTCTTATTGTTTCTTACCCGGCAGGATTTAATTTTTCCAGATGGTGTCAGATAGTTTTGACCTGTTTGCGACTATCGCTTTTTTCCTAAAGTTTACAGCAAAAAGTCGTTTTAAACATAGTCAAGATTTCCGTATCACCTTACATTTAGGAAAATAGCTAGCAGTCGTACAGAAAAAATGAAGTACATAAAAAGAAAAAAAACTGTAAATAAAAATTAAGCACCTAAGTAAATTGTAAAGCTTTATCCGGTAAAGTAAACATAATCTGCTTGTTGATGCGTGGTACGTTTTCAGTAACTAGTATTAATTCTAGGTATTTAAGGCCAACATTTTTTCTGAGAAACCACAATGCGCAAGTGTTTTGATTAGGGAGGGGAGCCACGAGGGCGGGCTGCAAGCAAGCCAACTCTGACTTGACTGCTCCCCATTCTCTTCGCGGCTTCGCCTCTTGATTAGATATTCAATACTCTGCAGACAAGGCCTGCTATCACGGGAGTTTTATGTTGAAACGCGTTGGAGCTACGACATCAACGCCGAGCTCAAAAATAATATTCTTGCTGCAAATCACGGCTCCAGTGAGGCCGCCAAAAGATTTGAAATTGGTAAAATTTACCACATTTACAACGATCTCCATACATAGACATTCGAAGGAACCACAGTTTCTTTTTAGCTCCGCGGCAAATGTCCCAGTCCGTGCTCCGGGCCGCGCGCCAAATGTATTAAGGTGATCAGGACGCAACGCTCTGTATGAAAACACTGCAGACAAAATCATAGACTGACTGCAAATTGTGAAAACATGAATTCTCGGTCCCATGTCGCTTCCCATCTCCTCGGCCTCAAAAAGGGAGCGGCGCAGTACATACAGGAACAGTGTTCCTCTTGGATAATAGCCAATAGGCAGTCTGATGAGCGAGAGACAAAGGAAACCAAAACGCTGCTCTTTCTAAGAAATTCAAGATTCATTATCGCTACACGTTTATGAGAAATCGGCCAATTTTTTCCGTTATAGTCAGATTAAAAAACTGTCTCCAACAATTAGCAAGTCCTTCGAGAAACAAAAATCTTTGCAATGGCTTTACTTCGTGTCTCGGGAAAGTACTATAAGACTGAGCGAGTTCTTGGTGAAGGTGGTTTCGGTACTGTTACACTTGTCAGAGATGCCGACACTGCCGAGTTATTTGCATTGAAAGACATCGCCTGCCAAACTGATCCCACTGCTGTTAAGAGCGCCCTGGAAGAAATCAAGACACTCCGCGCGCTTTCTCATCCCAACATCATCAAACTAATAGCAGCAGATAAGTCAATCGATGTGGAAAAAACACACGTGCTGATTTTGATGGAATACTGCTCAGGTGGAAATTTGAATGATCGGCTGGCTCGACCGGGTTACGATCCTCAAAAGAATCTGAAGTGGATGAGTCAAATTGCTGATGCCTTGGCCTACCTCCACTCGCGTAACACGGTTCATCGCGATCTGAAGCCAGAGAATGTGCTTCTAACGGATCAAGTCAACGAGGATATAAAGCTCGCCGACTTTGGCTTGGCCCGGAAGTACATCGCTCTCAAACAAAGCAACGCGGGGCTCAGCGATGCACAGTACTACATGCAAACGGGTGTAGGTACTCTTCACTACATGGCTCCAGAGGTTTTTGCTGGCCACTACACCGAAAAATCCGACGTGTTCTCTCTTGGCGTTCTCCTCTACGCAATAATGGAACGACGCTTTATGGCGGTGGAAGTCGGACAGAGAATGTACGGTGCTTTCGTTTCTACCCCTACACATGGCATGGTCGGCCTGGGTTTTGCCATGGCAAATATTAATGGCTATCAAAACAGCATGGTAACCTTTACACAAGCATCACCAAATGTTCAGCAATTGATTACAAATGTATTGAGTTACGACTATCGCCAACGCTCGAGTGCCAGTGATGTGAAAGCGCGACTTGTGTGAAACTGAACGAAGAGCAGCGTCTCTTGGAACGCTAAGAATTTTAGCATATGCATTTAGCCATTCATTAGCGATAATTACAAATATAGCTAATTCAACAATAATTTAAAACTAGATTTAGAATTTCTCGTTAAGGTTTTTCCTCTTTCACTTTCGAAAGTATTGGTATTGTGAATTAAAGAGGTATCTTTAGCAACAGGTATCGGGAACGTACGGTAACAAGAAACACGAAACTCCACGCTCTGCCGAGTCGGTCATGACGCTTTGAAAAGAACGTCTGTGACTTCTCAATTGTTTTTATTACTTCACTTTTTATCAAACAGAGCTCGATTGATCGATTACTTAAGATTGTTACGACTTGGTATAGAAGTGCACAAAGTTCCACTTCTAGAAGATGTTTAAAAAATGTACCCTTTTTAAACTCATCTTATTCTAAAGCCTCCGAGTTCTTTTCTGTCTTACTTTGCCTAATGTAGGTTAGCTTCAGATTTAAATTTTCCAGTGAAAGTTTGAAAGATAACGTCAATGGTTTCAGAGAGTTTTGGACTGGTTGCCAACGTCGCTCTTTACTTTAAGTTTTCGGAAATATTCGTCACGTTGAATTAATCGAGATGTCCGTATTAGCGTATTGAACAGCGGTTTAGAGGGGCAGAGTGCGAAGCGTAATGCACGAGCGTAATATCAACTCTGTAACTTTGGATTGGGCTTTTAAAATGGACATGAATAATATCAATACGAAGAATTCCGTACCAACACACGAAATGAGTTGGCGTACGGTTGAAGAAATCTA